ACGGGTACCAATGTTCAAACCCATTATATGGTAGGTTTATTTAAGTCTGACCTATATTTGGCCCGCATGATAAAATAGCAGATCCAAATCCGCTAAATGTTACGGGGTTTGAATTTTTTTTTTTTTGTCAGCCCTAATCTTGATGATAATGCATGAAAAGCAAGAGACAGTCGAATGAGCCATACCTTGGACACTAAAACGGAATTGTTAGCAGCGAGACAAACACCACCAACATGTGCATGTGACGTCAAGCACTGGGGTCATTGCCCTCTTGTCTACCATCATATGGGAAATACTCACTCATCGGGTCACAAAAAGTGTGAACTCCTAGAAATAGAGATACGACATACAAGAAAGTGGGGATTCAAGTAGATTATGCCAGATTCGACTCCAAGATGGCCTTATAAGAGAGAGTGGCAACTACCATGAAAACAAGGAACCCTAGGAAATCCGAGGCCACCAATTAAAAGTTTAGCTCGCTTGTCTTGTGTGTCTTGAGTTGGCTTCTCAAACCCAATTATTAAAGGAAAAGAGATAAATAATTGAGGATGGGTGGAATGGGGATACATTCCATAAGACAAAGCCCACATGTCAATGGTACATTGTGAATTTGTAACAAAGATACTATAAAGAAATTTACATCTTGTCGCTCTTTATGGTTCTTTGAGGTTGACCAAAAAGGGAGACCTCACATATCCCGAGTCTCACTAAACAACGAAACCCTAAAAGTCTAAGTGAACCACAACCCAACCCAAAGATCAAGGCGAATTTTGTGCAAGCCATTGCGTTGGGATGCATAGGGCATTATGAAGAACACACATCAAAGTTTAAGTGGACCAAAATAGGAGACCTCAAGGTATCAAGAGCATCACTAAACAACAAAACCCTATAAGCTCCCTCACAAGCGTGAGTGAGCATGCCCGATTAGAAGACCTTTTAAGTAGTGCAGTGTAATGTGAAGATCCTTTGGAGAAACCTACTTGCTTACCTAGAGCCTATAGACCCAAACACTACATTGGATTAATGCACCACAGAGCACCAAAAAAAAAAAATGTAGAGCCATGGCATTGTACATATAGAGCACCACGAAGAGCATGGGTCAAAATTTAAGTGGACCGCATCTTACAAGACTAAATTTCCATATGTCGAGTGACAAGTGGAACCTTGTGCTAAGGCCATGTGATGTGATTTAATGTGACATCACATGTTGGCTGCCATCAAGGAATATGTAAACCAGAGTGGAAGCAGAAAGTCTAATGGACAAGGATAAAATAGATTCAATATACAATAATGATACGCAGATCGCAAATGAGCCAGAAGTATGAACACTTAATTAAGAAATTGATAGCATTTAATTACAACTATCCACTTGATACAAGGTGAGACCAATAGAAAAAGAGAAAAAAATTATTCAAGTTTCAAGAGAAAAAGACAACAAACCATTTGTTGAGCAAATCCACCCTCTATATTTTCTGTAATGGAAACAAATTAAGATATAAAACACATTATAGGATTGCAGCAACCAAAAAGACGGTAAAATATGATCAAAAAGTGCAGATCAAAATATAAAATTAGTGGAAAGAGAGACAGATAGACTCTCCAGAAATCAACAACACACTTTTTTCAAAAACAAAACAAATAAGCCATAAATTCAGTATAGAGAGCAATCTAAACTAGTCAATTGAGATCTGAAACAGCAATTGAAACATACATCTCGCCAATCCCAAAGCCGACACAAAGACTACAAAAACCGCACGCTGAATGAAAAACTGATGTAGGAAAACAGAAGTATTTGCATTAGTGAAAACTGGAACACAATTAATTAAGACAGGTAAGGTAAGGTGGAGAGAGAATTACTAATTCGACCAACCAACGGCCGCGCTTTAAGAAGAAACGGGGTGGAGGATTGGAGCTTTTGTTCTTATGCCCCTCATCCCAAATTCCCGACCTCACCATGTCCGGTGCACCAGCCCAAGACTGCCCAACACTTTCTCATTTTAATGTTATGGCCCAACCCGATATTTTATTTTTCTTTTTTTTGTCGTTTAATAAATTTTATTGTAGGTCTGGCCCAGCAGCCACACTCACATCAAAAACATTCACAAGAAGCCCAGAAACAGAATCTATTAGAAAAAATTTTTTTAAAATTAAAAAATTAAATGTTAATTGCAAAATAAACAATTGAATTATACCATTTTTGCATTTTATACCTTCAAGTTTTGCTGCTCTGGGTAACCTAAAGTGTGCAATTGTAAGTTGAAACATATAGTCTAACGAACGTGATTAATTGATTAATTGATTCAAATGGTGGTGTTAGATATCTATGTATCCATACTTATGCATGATAGCCAAAAAATTAATGCAACTCTCTAAGTGTGTGTTAGCAGGGGGAGCCAGTGTGTGCCTAGAGGGGGCACATGCCCCTCCTGGTTTGGCCCCACCCGTTATAAAATATAATAATTTTAATTTTAATTTATACATTTATAAGAAATTTTTTATATAATGGTCCCCTAAAATTTTAAATTTTTAAAATTGTCTTTTAAATTTTTCTTTTATTTTTCTTTTGCTCTTAATATTCCTTTGATTTCCTTAAAAAAAAAAAAAAAAGCTAAATTTTCTTTCTTTACTCAAACTCTAATTTTTTTTCCCTTTCGAAATTTCTTATTTTTCTTCCCTTCTTCTTCTTCTTCTTCTTCTTTTTCTTCTTCTTATTAATTATTTTTGGCCTCATACTTCTTAACATTCTTCTTTTTGTACTTAAAAATGATGTGTGTATATATATATATATAGTATGTAATTTTTTTTTTTTTTTTTTGTTCTTCTTATTTAAATTATATTTTTTATTTTTTATTTTTATTTTTATTTTTTTTACACTGCACCCACCTCTTAATTAAAATCCTGGTTCTGCCCCGGTGTGTTAGTAATAGCATATGTAAGTCTCGTGAGATTCTTTGTTGCTTCAACTTTATTTGATATGAGATTATGTATACCTGTTGTGAATACCTAAGCTTATATCTTTTAGGCATTGATATGTCCGTAGAGTGTGTTGAGAGAAGTTTTTAATATTTAAGTGGCCAATTTCATTGAATAATGTATTTTGATTGAACCTGCAAGGTAGCTCAACTGATCAGGCCTTGGGCTTGCTCCCCAATGGTCACCAGTTTGAGTCTCCTCAGGGCTACTAGAGGCTTGTCTGGTCGTTAATTTCAGGATCTCG